CACACTGCATGCATTGGTGCACTTCAGCTGAGCCATCTGGCTCACCCCCAATCCCTGCACTTTTCCATCACACTCATCTCTAGTGAGCCCCAATTTAACTTCCTTCCAATTTAACAGCTCCTGAGCTAAGGTTCTTTCCCGCCTTTGGGATAGGTGAGACCAGCGAAAGCCATTTCTCCAATTCCATTCTTTGTTCTATATATATATATATATATATATGTATACACACACGCACACACACACACATTTTTATTTTTTTTTAATTCTGCTTAAGTTTATATCAGTCATGTATTCTATGGCCTTTGTTCTTCCTACTCATCATCCTTTGTCTCTCACTCCAAGTGCACTTGACTCATGTAACACGGCCCAAAGCAGCAGCAGTCATAGAAGACAGCACACTGGGAGCAAGCTGGTAATACTTTCCATATGTTGCCCAAGTGAAAGTCTGACACCAACCCTGTAAAACAAGGTGGGGGTACTTTCCTGCTTCCAGGGCCCAGCCACCACAGGTAGGCAGGCTACACACACTAAAACCAAGATCACAAGTTCAGCATTTTTAATGACAGAAAATCATTTGGGGAATCTGCATCTGTAGTTCGTGCTTAACTGATGTTTACAGTACTTACAGCCTAAATGATCTCTGATTTAATTAACATTTGCAATCGATTTCACAGAATATTTATCATTTCATTTTGTGCAGGAAAGCAATATCGTCACACAGACTAAATATTTACTGCAACTTTAATGGAAATCTTTGCTTGATTTCTTTTTTTTTTTCCCAAATTAATGTAGAATGAATATTGACTGTATTTCAGGAGTTTTTCTTTTTCTAAGACAGAAATTCAGCTGTAAGCAATTAGAAGCTATTCTGTAAAAATGAATGTGTTCCTGTAGGAAGACAAATAATCAGTCATCAACATGCAATATTCTCTGAGGACACTAGAGTAACTAACTGACCTAGATATTGCTGTATTTTGCTGACACAGGCAATTTCTGAAGTACCAAACCAAGCGACTAAGAGACCCAAACCATATTTTTCAAGTGCAATTCTTGTACATATAACATAAACAAAGAATAGATGAGTTAAACACAGCATCAGCACTCAGAAGAATGACAAATGAGAATGTAAAGACACTTTTTTGTTTTTTATCACATTATCGGAGCACTTACAAAAATAAAAGTACCCTTTGGGCACACAGACCAGTATTTAGTATTTTCAGAAAACTTTCTGAAGTTGTTATAAAAGGAATCATAGCTACACTTAAGTATTTCTAGAAAGGCCATAATAATGAAACATAATATCTGATTTGCAATAGCTCTGTAAGTTAGTTATGCTTTCAAAGTGTCATGAAATTACACTTCAAGAATAGATAGCTACATAAAATGCCTTCTCTTTGATCAGCTTGTTTATCCTATTTGTACAGCATAAGCAAATACAGACATGTATTACAAAGAATTTCACTATTTGTCACTTCTTACAAAATTCCAGTTAAAAAAAAAAAAACGCAGAACTCTATTTGTACTTCCTAGCATTTTCTTTTTCATTTAAAAAAGATAAAAAAGAAGCTTTGTCATGTATTTTTTGTAATAGTAATAAAAATGAGTAACTTTTACACTGCTATCATTTGCCAAAGAATCTAGACTCACATTTGACCGTGGCATCTAAGATTTCTCTACAGAAGCTGAAATTGATTCAGCTGCTCATTTAAAACTTTGAAATATATTTAAATCCAACTTAAATTCAACTGAGCTTGTATTTCTTGTATATGCACACACAAACAGTACTGCTCCTATGCCTGGTCCGGTGGTTGGCGACCCTGCACATAGCAGGGGGTTGAAAGTAGGTGATCATTGTGGTCCTTTTCAACCCAGGCCATCCTTTGATTCTACGATTCTATGATTCTACGTGTAGTGACCACAGAGGACAATGTCCTAAGATCAAAGTCATATCAATGTGCTATACTTTTCATTAATTAAAACTGTACTTAAAGTATATATGCCAAGGCCATCCAGCTAAAAATTCAGAATTTCAGAAACAATTTAGAAATGATATAAAGCAATATAATTTCTTTGCTTTAACCAATTATCTTCTTGTTCTGTTCAATCTGATCACGACTTAACTTTAAGATATAATACAAAAAATGAGAGTCCATACTGGAGGCATAAAACAATGTATTGGACAACAGTACTGGAGCTGCTGCACACAGAAAGGTAGACTGCGCTTTTTAAAATGTAATAAAAATAAAACTTGTACACTACAAGGCATGTAGTTGAAGGTATCACTACCTTTCCTGCATCCAAAGATAAAATTTACCACTCTCGAGACTCAACTGAGTCAATTTTAGAGCTGTAGCACGCTCATCCTTTTAAAACAGACAACAGTTTTACCTGCCACAATTAACTAAGTTCTGTGTCCATGCTCATATTCTTCTCAACTTCGTTTTACTGAAGTACTGTACTGAAATTCTGAACTACCTTTGGCGGTGCACTCCTTGCCCTCTCACCCAGCCTGGCTGTTATGTCCAAGAGCAAGTGCATACTACGAGGTGCAAAAGATCTTGTCTTTGTGACCAGTAACAGTCAAGGCCTCATGGAGACAGTAACCCACCACACTGTCTCAGACTGAGTGCTTTGAGAACTGATGACAGGCACCTAGCTCAACAGATCCAATTCTAAGTTGTATGACTATGAGTCAATCACCTTACTCCATAAATACAAAGCAGCCTAAGAATCCCTTTTGAGAGTTCTTCTTGCAAGCAGCTGGCTGTACACCAGAATCTCCCCGAGTAGAGATACCTCTGAAGGTTACTTGATGCCTGTGCAGAGATTTTCCTAGGATATGGTGATGCACTCCTGACAGATTCTCAGTAAACTATATAGCGTTTTTGAACTACACAAGCTTTGCTAAGATTTGATGTTGGATTCACTATGCACACTGCCACCACCCCCCTCTGTGTAGCAAAGAGTCAAGGATATCTAGCCACTTCAAAACTTGTTAAGTGGCTGTCACAACTGTTCAAATTAACACATTGTATCTATTTCACATCAATAAATATATTTTTGTCTTCCTCTTAAGAATGAAGTGTGCAGTGCTTTAGCCCCATCCATGATACTAACAAAAATTTAAATCTTTTTTAAATTACTTACTAGTCACAGGGACCTGGACAAGCTTGAAAAGTGGGCCCATGTGAACCTAACGACATTCAACAAGGCCAAGTGCAAGGTACACAATCTCACATTTTCAAAGACCTACTTGGAGGCAACCCATTCTCACCAAAATCTGTGAATGAAATTTGCCAACCCAAGCGATGGGTTAGAAAGCCAACACTGCTTTACTGTAGCACAACAGATTGCTCCTCCTAGCACACATACCCAAGATCTAAAGCACACAGATTGTGTACATTTTAAAATGTGAATATTCCACAAAGTGCCTCCCTATTCCTAGAATTGCAACACATACTGTAAGTTAATACTTCTCATGCACTGTGTTAACACAGGGTTTTTGCAAAGAGGTCTTTGGTGGTTGCAAGGTTCCACTGGGAGGTGTTGTCTGGGTAAAAGGTCATGTATTATGTAGGCCAGGTCCCATATTTGGTCAAGAACTTTACAAAAAGACAGGGCTGCTGACTAAATTTCAGATCGGTGTGTCGACTTTGTTATGGTGCCTATACTGTCAATCCCATGGTCTCTGATCGTATCCTGCTCAACCAAAGGACAGTCTTCTGTTCCTCAGACTCACTCTCTTTCTCCAGGGTGCAGGGTTGCTAAGGGGCAATCTTTGTAGTGAAGACAGAATCAAAGAAGCCATTCAGTATCTCTGCCTTCTCAGCATCTCCTGTTACCAGGGCACCCACCTCATCAGTAGTACACTCACATTTTCCCCAGCTTTCCTTTTACTGTTAACACACTTCAAAAAACTTTCCTTGTTGTCCTTGACCTCCTTTGCCAGACTGAATTCCAAGTGGGTTTAAGCCTTCCTCATTGCATGCCTGCACGCCCTGACAGCTTTTCTACATTCCTCCCAGGTGGCCAGGGTTTTTTTCCACATTTCATAAATTTTCTTCATTGCATTGCAGTGCAGGCCTGGCTGTCTTGCTAGTGGAACAGATATCAGAACGGTTAAGGTGCCCTGCAAGAACTAGTGACAGGATCACAAAGCTACTTCCAGGTGTCTGCAGAAGGCCTTATCGACTTCGTCCTCCTGATCAGATACCCTGTAGTATACATCCACAACCTATATTAAGCTGCTCCTTAAGCATCACCCACAAGTTCCTTTGATCATCATTCACCCCTTAAAGTAAATACACTATAATTGCTCTCTCACACAAAGAACAGCTCCATCACCTCACTTTACCAGCTTATCTCTCCTAAATGGGACATACCCATTCATGACAGCATTCCAGTCATGCAGGCTTTCCCATCATGTCTCCATGATCACAGTGAGATCATGGCCCTGCGACTGCACACATCTCTGGTTCTTCCCCTTTATTTCCTATGTTGCATGCATTAGAATACAAGCACGCTAAGGAAAAAGAAGAATTCTAGAGGAATACAAGAAGATTTCATGTATGCATACTAATTCTTGGGGTGTCTGGCCTTCTGGCTTTTTTCATTACAGGCAGCTAAGGAACATCTGTTATTTTTACTGCTGCCTTTCTTCATTCCTTAATTAATTGCAATGGCACAAGCACTGCCTTTATGGACCCCAATGACTCATATATCTTCAATACATTTAACTTCCACTTGAAAATTTCCATAAAAAGAAATTGTTTTTAAAGAACATTACACGGATTTAGCTGAGAACAAAATCAGTACTGAAAGGAATACATGCTGCTGGGAAGTAACAAAAAAAAAAAAAAAAGAAAGAAGAGTAAATACAAATAGAAGTGGCAGGGTTAGATACTCCCTGAAAGTTCCCCGCTTCTCATTGACTTTAATAGATTATTACCAAAAAGATGCAACAGAAATCCCTTTAACAACAGTTCTCTGCAGTGACTCACCAACTTCGCTGCTTTTCCATAATCAATCCATCTGATGGTTGCAAAGTTTGTTGACTCTGCACAGTTGAAGCCATGGTTAAATCCTGCATGGTATCCATATGGGAAAGTGATCATAAATTCCCCTGCCTCTTGTGTAACCTGTTGCATTAAAAAAAGAAAGTGAAGCGTTTTACAAAACAGTTCTGCTCTTGAACCAATTAAAATTACACTGTTCCTTTACCATTATTTAGATAGAAAAAAATTTCTCCTTCCACACAACTGTCATTTCACAAAATCATAGAATCACAGAATCACAAGGTTGGAAAAGGCCTATAAAGATCATCCAGTCCAACCGTCCTCCCACCACCACTGCAACCACAAGCACTAAACCATATCTCTCAGCTCCTCAACCAGACGCTTCTTGAACACTGCCAGGGACGGCGACTCCAACACCTCCCTTGTAGGCCATTCCAGTGCCTGACCACTCTCTGAGAGAAAAAGTTTTTCCTCTAACCCAAACCTCTTCTGGTACAACTTGATACTTCAGTAACTTTAATACATGTAGAAATGCAATGCTTGAGACAATGTTATTTACTTTAACTGGAATACCTTCTCAGTATAGCTTCATGTATCCCTTTATGAAATCAGAAATTACTTTCAAAGAAGTAAATCTTGGAGGTGTTTTCTGATAATATGTGGAAGAACAGGGAGCTAGAAAAGACAAAGGAAAGAATGTACCAATCTTCCTGAGAGGGATCAGAGATACAATGGACTGAAAATATCCATAGTTATCATCCCTAAGTACTAGAATGCAATGAAGAAATTATTCTGTTCACCACCCTCAAGATGATTCCCTAAAATCGCACCAGAAGTATTCTGCTGTTCCTGGAAAAAAACCTTATCCCCAGCCTTCTCTCATTCTCACCTAAGGGACTGATTAGGCTTTTAAGCTATAGTGATGATCCAGTATAAAATAGAAGAAACTAAGTTAGTGAGCCTTGACACAGAAAATATGTTTTATACCAGTGGAATATACTAGAAGGAAAAAAATGAAAACACATTACATTATGTTCACCTGAGGCAGTATCTTCAGATCACTTTGTATAGGAAAGAAAACTACCAATTCCACTGCACCAGGCCCTAATTATTACATTTATTAACACATAACAGGACTCTTGAGCTGGATATACCATGCAGAACATCTGAACTTTAAATCGTTATTTTAAATGCACAAGCACTACTTCAAAATTAAATGTAATGTGCTTCTGTCCTCATCCTCTTTCTCTATAGGCACAGTTTAAGAGAGAATAATTCTTGTACTTATGACCACAACTCCACATACTTAAGTACAGGTGGCCTCAGAGAAGATCCTCAAAGAGGAACAGCTTAACTACACTTAAGATTTGGTACTGCATTAGAAAATAAGCAAGGGTAGTTCTGAGTCATTATTCTGTTATTTCCAAGTACAGCAAAGAGCATTCAGAATAAATGCTTGCTGAGGCTACTGATTCAACAAGAAATTACAGGCAGAAGAAAAAGAAGAAGAAAAAAAAGCTAAAAATACTGTGATAGTAACTGTATTTTGCACAAAGTCTCAAAGAAACCGAATTCCTATCAGTTACCAACACCAGACATAAAATTCTTCTAGAAGAAAATAAAAAAATAAAATAATAATAATAATAAAAAAAAAAAAGTGGGGTAAGATAAGCAAAAGATTGGTCAGGATATTCTCTTTCACGGTGAAAAACAACCTCTTATCTTCCCATACTTGGATGGACTGGTGCTCTCCTCCAGAGCCGAAGAAAAATAGTCAGCACTTATTCGTCACTCACTAATATCTGTCCAGGAGATTAAAGCCTCAGTAAAGACCACCAAAGACTGTATCAAGGACAAACTAGTCAGAGACTAGAAATAGTACAAGGTCTCCTCAACCATCTGACAAGCTAGAAGATTCAGAAGTAAAGGGTCAAATGAGCTTTACATGAAAACAGCAACAGAAGACAGCACCACTAAAAAGCAATCTAAGTTCAGCAGATAATCTGAGTAATGATGAATGTCTGCTCAAAAAATTGTATTCACTGATTACAGGGAAATAAGGAGACTTCCTAGAGATGAAATAGATTTATTTTCATTGTATGACAATGCTTTGCAAAGAAATATTGTATGATTTTAGGGAAGGCGACCGATGTCATAGGGAAGGCGACTGATGTCATTTACCTGGACCTGAGCAAGGCCTTTGACATGGTCCCCCACCACATCCTCATCTCCAAATTGGAGGGAAGTGGATTTGATGGGTGGACGACCCGATGGATAAGCAATTGGTTGAAAGGCCGCAGACAGAGGGTGGTGGTCAATGGCTCTATGTCCAGGTGGAGGCCGGTAACAAGTGGTGTCCCCCAAGGGTCTGTCTTGAGACCGGTGCTCTTTAACATCTTTATTAATGACATCGATGAGGGAATTGAGTGCACCCTCAGCAAGTTTGCTGACGACACCAAGCTGAGTGGTGCGGTTGATACAGTGGAAGGAAGGGATGCCATTCAGAGGGACATCGACAGGCTGGAGGGCTGGGCTCGGGTGAACCTAATGAGGTTCAACAGGGCAAAGTGCAAGGTTTTGCATTTGGGCCGGAAGAACCCCAGGCACCCGTACAGGCTGGGAGGAGTGGTCCTTGAGAGCAGCTCGGCAGAGAAGGACCTCGGGGTCCTGATGGACGAGAGACTGAACATGAGCCAGCAGTGCGCTCTGGCAGCTCGAAAGGCAAATGGGATCCTGGGCTCCATCAGGAGAGGGGTGGTCAGCAGGGACAGGGAGGTGATTGTCCCTCTCTACTCGGCTCTTGCGAGGCCCCATCTGGAGTACTGTGTCCAGGTGTGGAGCCCTCAGTACAAGAAAGACATAGAGATCTTGGAAAGGGTCCAGAGGAGGGCGACTAAGATGATCAGGGGGCTGGAGCACCTCCCCTATGAGGACAGGCTGAGGGAGTTGGGCTTGTTCAGCCTGGAGAAGAGAAGGCTGCGGGGTGACCTCATTGCAGCCTATCAATACCTGAAGGGAACCTACACCCAGGAGGGGAGTAAACTCTTCAAAAGGGCTGACAACAGCAGGACTAGGGGAAATGGATCCAAGTTGAAGGAGGGAAGATTTAGGTTGGATGTTAGGGGGAAGTTCTTCACAAGGAGAGTGGTTAGGCCCTGGAACGGGCTGCCCAGGGAGGTTGTGGATGCCCCGTCCTTGGACGTGTTCAAGGCCAGGTTGGACGGGGTCCTGGGCAACCTGATCTGAATGTGTACGTTTGGTGGCCCTGCTAGGCAGGGGGGTTGGAACTACATGATCCTTGAGGTCCCTTCCAACCCGGGTGATTCTGTGATTCTGTGATTCTGTGATTTTAAGTAGCAAAAATTGAGAGACTTGAAACAATTCAATAAATCAAAATCACATTTTGAGACATTTTTCTAATGAGAATCTGTTTTTACAAGCCCCTTTCTTCTCTTTCAAAATTTTCATCTACTAGTTGTTAAAATTCCTTTCTTTGCTTTTTACGTGTGGTGCAAGAATAAGCACAAAGGTTTAACACTTCACCAATTGATAAATTGCTGATAGTCTTATGCAAAGAGGGAGAAAAAAAAAAAGAAAAAAGAAAAACATGCTGAGCTGAAATACAAAGCATTGAAAAATTGTATTTTACATTTTTCATTTGCATTTTGCAAGGTTAATATTTTGGGGGGTTCATACGTAGCATATACATGCAAACACAGATACAGATGCATATATTATAAATGCTACTATAGTACTTCAACAATCACTGTGGGAATGTTTAAGAAGGATTATTCTCAATGCCAGCAATTCCAAAATTTATCTCAATACACCCTCCCACTGCTGACAGTTTAGCAGGTGTTCTATTGCAACAAGCACCAGTTCAGCTGCCACCTGGTAGGCGTAGGCTGTCTTATCAGCGTTCAGCACATTTCCAGTTCTATCACTTTGAGCCATGAGAGATCACAGCCTGGTTTTCTCTATTCACTTTCTCACTGAATCCCATTAATTACAATTACACTTGGGTACAGACTGCTTCTTCCTAACACTATTTGACAGAACCAAACTTAAAATATTTAACTATTTCTAGCACTTTCATTTAAAAAAACTGAAGAACAGATTCAATCAATACAGTGAATTAAGAACATCAGATCCCTTACCCACCCCAAACGTGTGGTACTGAAAACAAACGTACCAGCATTCACCAAGATGCTACCTTAAACACTAACCACCGAAAATTAAACTGCTCAGAGTAATGTTCAGTAAATCCAACATCATAAATCGAGCTATAAAACCTTCCTGTTTGGAAGGATACATTTGACACTTCTGATAAAGCATAAGATTATGAAGGGAATCAGTACTTACCTGTATATTACAAAGCTGAACTCAGCAGCTACAATGACAATATATCATTCAGAAAACAAACTTTTTATGTAATTTATTCAAAAAGCTTGCTTTCCAAGGCAGGCTGTATCATTCTAAAAGCCCACATTTCTCTAGTTTTATACATATGTTAATTTAAGCATAAAAAGAGATATAATCTTTCAAAAGGCATGAACAAATGAGTGGCTTCATATCATACAAAAATCTACCTTACTCTTTGATTCTGTGCCTTAAGAATAATGCTGCATTTCCCAGGTGCTTTTTTAATCAACCTTTAACCTTCTTAAATTTGTATCTATTCAGTTTTACCACAAGCATATAACTCCTAGTACCAGTTCCTGTTAATTTAGTAGTAACTATTGTAGTTGCAGACAATGGTGTAGATATTAGAGAATATTTCATATTGTTGGCAAATATACGTTGTAAGATCTCTCTCAAGACATAATCGAGAAATTATCTTTAATTGTATTTACTTCTTGAACAAGGGATTGATTTCAGATGGTATTAAAGGCTAAAAAGTGCATAATATATTATATCACCCTACCAGTTCTGAGCTTATTTCATATTCGTTCACTTGAAATACTGCATGCTGTATTTCTTATCGTTCTACATAATATACAGAAAAGCATAATTCAAGCAATTCCATGGGCTACATTTAATACTGTTAGATAAACATCAACAAAAAGAGATGGGAAGTATTGCATAATCTAGGAAGGGGAATGTGGGAAGCTAACTACATATACAAAGGCCTATATGGTATCAATATACAAATACACCCTGAAATAAAAACTTCAACAATAAACAAGGAGTGTGGTGAGGACAGTTTAAAGGACTTTACCGCAGCAAGACAAGAGTAAGAATTGTAACCATTAGTTGATCAAAGGGCTTTTAAGATATTAGAACAGAAACAGATGTTCAGGCAGGAGACTGTGAATCAGAGTGTACTCTTCTGAGCCAGCTTGCAAAATATTTTCATTTAGAAATTCAGAATTTACAAATTGTTCAGGATACAGAATACATATACTAAGGTGAAAGCAATGTAGTAAAACTCTTTTACTAGCTGGCACCTACAGGAAGCTCAAAATTCAACAGAAAATGTTGAATGAAAAAACATAAAAGAAAATTTTGACAACAAACAGAATACTTCAGACATGTTTGAAAGCAATCAAGTTTTAAATTTATCCACCAAGAAAAACCCCAAAATTTATTCTTTCCACTTCCTACTAACAAAGTTCCAGTACACAACTACCCAGCACTACAAAATAATCATTCTTTGTTTTGTCATGTTTCAGCTTTTTGTGTATTTTAAATTAAATAACAATTCTTTCAGTTTCATTCCACTCCGTAAATAACCTGAAGCTTTTTTTATTTTACAACCTGTACAGATGTACTAAATCGCATCAGAAAAACGATACAGGAACATTTAAAAAATAAAGCATTTGTTCTAAAATATTAGGTATACAGCTAGCAGTAATGCAACTAGATAAGAAGGGTTTCAGTCACTAGACAAGAATATACCAGGCTCGCATGAAAACTGCACAAAATAAAAAATAATGGTGATCCATTAAAAGCACAGACACTGTCAGGTACAGACTTTGACAACTGCAAGCAGTCATAGTCTCTCTATTACAAAAATGCAACCTAACTCATGTAAGAGTTCTAATATCACAGGCATTTGTTTTCACTGTTTTAGAGAGTCAGGGCCTAAAACATACGTTTTTACCTCAGTGTTACTTCTACTATAAAGAATCTGTACAATAAACACAGTGTAACTCGACACATGAATGCAGTTTAAAAATAAACACCAGTGTACCTTGTCAAAAGGAATTCCGTACTTTTTCAGTATTGAGGGAGAAATCAGAGTCATCTTGTGGCGAAGAAATGCATTACATCCATGAGAGCTGCTTGGGAAGAATCCTGGTGAGGGAAGATAAGCAAAATTGGGTATCTTTTAATTAAAACAAGAAGAAAATTTTTGTACTTTTTTTTTTTTTTCACAATAAATTATACATCTTCCTGTCATTGTTAGCCACTGAGAGATTCGTATAAAACTCAAATGCATTTCCTACATTTTTCAGCTATTTTTCATCTTTTGTTTGCTTTTTAAAGAACTAAATGATTCTTAAAAACCTCACCTGTAGATTTGGCCATCCTGTTATTTCGTATTCCAATTACACTTCATTCTATATTTTCCCACTTTACTGTTCACTCTGCCACCCCTGCACACATGAAAATCAACCACACTACATAAAGTCAGGATTCCACAACAACCAGATTTACTAGCACTTGAAGATCATACAGAGCAAAGAAACAAAACCTTCTACTTACAAAAAGCCCGAAAGCGTGGCATCATTTTTAACTATTTATCAAAGTTCAGAGAGGTTTTTTTGGTGTTTTGACAGCAGCTTTTCCATTTTGTTTTGATTCTTGCTTTTTTGTATCTGATTTTGAATTCTTTGAACAAAAATTGGTGTGAAGCTATTCAGGTTTCAACTTTCATGATTATTTATGAACTAATCCACTAAATCCACTTAGTTCATTAAGTAAAGATAAAATCCAGCTGGTGAGTACATGGAGATGAATGAATGAAGGGAAAAGCAAAAAAAAAAAAAATCCAAGATCATGTTTGAGCACCACTAAATATCAGTATCTCAGAAAACATCAGTTTCACTTACCCTCAACCCAAACATACCACAGAAGGAAAACACTGTTACAGTAAGGAAAATGGGGAAAATGGAGAAGGACAAGGAGGGCAAGTTTTCAAAACACTCCATTAATCCTTCCAGACTACATTATGGAAAGAACAACAGAGTCTGAAAAAAGAAAAGGGCATAGTAGTTAACAACAAAATGCCCATGAAAAGTTCAGATTGAAAAATGAAGGAGTACAGTGAGAACCATTTAACCAGCTGCTGTCTCTGCTCTCAGCCCCCGTTCTACTTAAGTACAGATGCATGCCCTGCTCCGAAGTAAGGGTGACTCTTGCTGAGGAAGTGAGGAATGCTTCTGGCTGTATCATAACGCAACGCTACTCAAGTTTTGCAGAGTTATAGCACTAATAAACCAACAGAACTGGAATGGCTAAGGGAAACAGTTATTAATCAGCAAAGATCAGAAGCTCTTTCTTATTTTTGCAGTTATCAAAAAGATAGTATTTATCTTGACAGTCTTCCTGGAATTTGTACCAGATCGCTACCAAGAATCACCAAGAGAGACAGTGTAAATGACAGATTCACATTTAGCAGTCCTGGAAAATGTACTATTATACTGCATCAGTCACAAAGCATTTGAAAATAAGCCATTTTTTTGTGAAGTTAAACTTCATTAATTTATTTTGCTTTCTTCTGGAGAGCGTATTTTGCAATGTTGCCAAGACGTATTAACACCAACAGCTCACTCCATTGTAGGTCACTTATTTTCAAGTGATTTCAGTGACTTCAGAAAGTCTCATGGGCTACTACTGGAAAATAAAATACTCTCTGAAGTAATTATTTCAAAAATTTTTGCTTAACTTTGATAAAGTGGAATTAAGGCACAAAGGAGCTCACTATCACAAATCCACAGGAGAAAACTTAGCAAACAAGCAGAAAGAAGTGATGGCTCAATATCTTAGCCTCTATTGAGTTCTCACTGTTTAGTGCATGAAGTTTCACCACTCCGAAACACACACAGGGTGAAATTCTACTTTTCTAACTAAATAAATACTAATTTGTCTGATTCTGCTGAAAACCAACAAACAAAAAAGTATACTGAGAAGAAATATATATTAAAAAAAGCCACTTCAGGACAGCAATTTTATTTCTGTGTACAAGAAAAATGTGTATAACATATATAGCACTATCTTTCTACAGGGAAGACCTGTCCTGAGAAATATGGACATAAATTCAAATGAAGCAAATGGTAGTAAAAGTATACATTACATTTTACCAATTTGCATCACAACAAGAGAGTGGAGAAAAAAATGACAGCAGCCAATTATGACAAGAACTATTATGACAAAGTCTCCTTAATGACAGCAACAAAAGTAATATAGAAAAAAAAACCTTTTTGATTAATTTATGCACAAAATAGTTGATACTGTAAAAATAAAAACAATCTCTGAGAGAGATCCAGGTGGACAGATTTCCTAGGATTATCCAAGGTGTAAATATTTGTCCATAGGAAATACATTAACCAAGAACACTGTTCAAATATTCCCCAAAATGAATGTGTAGTGTTTTACTGAAAAGGCCTTGTAAATGTTTGAAAGTATCAAGACGAGTTCACTCAAGATGTATGAGAAAAATTAACACAACAACTAGACTAATCTCTAAAAATACTGTTTTTATACAGTAAAAGGACTGACATTGCTTTACTGCATTTGCACAGGCAGTCCTTCCAATAAAAGGTTCATTTAGGCAACAAAGGTGTAACATACACCTATGTTGGCAGAAGTATTAAGGACTCTTAGGATGTCCTGAGATCAAATTCTATTAAAGTGTGTCAGACTTACTTGCAATTACCATGCATGTTTTTTTACTTTACTGGAATTACAAATTATGCTAGCTTAAGTTTCAAGCAGCAATTTTTTGAGGGTTCAGTTTCATCACATAAGTATGCATGACTTCATTAAAATAAAAGATAAAAAAGGAAACTACTCGACTAATAGTTGGCTCCGGTGAATACACTTCAAATACTTTGGAACAATTAAAATCTATAGCAATTATAATAACCGCAACTTGCAATTGATAGCCTATGGCTCCGAGAAACCTCAGACCTGAGCAGCATTAGGAAATAATAGACAAAAACAGACTGAAAGGAAATGATCAAAGGTGACACTTGAGACTGAGAAAATAACTGTTACAAAAAGCAACAAAGAAATTCCATTTCCAAAAGCAAGGAGAGCTTGACTGAGTTGATTCTGCGTGAGCAAACAGAATTTGTACCAAATTTTGGTACAGCAGTAAACTTAATTAGCTCAACAAATAATGTCGGAAAGCAAATGATGAGCAAGTAAATATCCAAAACTTGAGTTGTACCACTACACCTCTAAAAGATGAGAAAGAGTTGTGACAACTCCAACCACAAGGTGAGCATGCTGAATTCTAAGCAAGCCGCAAATAACACTCAACAGCAGACTACAACCTGCTGAGCATCCATTAAGAGAAAATTACAGACAACATCTGTAATTACAGTGCTCTCTAAATGAAATCAAAGGTGCTGTTGACACTTTCCGTGCTGCTATAAAATATTTTTCCAGATTCTTTCAAAGTCTACACTTGGACACACATATTTTTCAGCCTCATTCACAGCATTTTCTCAGAAATGTTCCTTTTCAATGAAAGAGAGGAAAGGAAGGTGTATGTCCTTGTAAAAGGTTTCATCAGAAGGTCTTTTCTTCTGCTCTGGCTAAAGATAAGGTCACACAAACTCTTCCCTCAGCAAAGAACCCTGCAGGACTAACAAATATAAAAAGACCTGTTAACGTGCTGTAAAGAGGACACCACATAGGAAGCATGGCGAGACCTTTAGAAATACATTAAATGCACAGATTCTCTTACAGCATACTGACATTTAAATAATAGGAACGCCATATAGTTCTCTCTCTCTCTTCATTAACCTATTGTTTTAACACCACCACAAGCATTATTTAAGACAATCTTGCAACACAGCAGAACCAATTCCAAATACCAATCTCACATTATAATTAACAAGTCACAGGTTTAGAAATCAATCCTGAATATGCAGTGAATTTCCACATCCAAAAGAAAAAAAAAACCCTGCAATCTATCTAGAACATACCAAAATTCTGTAGTAGATTCATGCTTTGTTAGCTACATGAAAGTAAGTACCCATGAGCTCTAAATCAATTCTAATAAAAGCAGGTATTTCGTGATAATTTGCATGCAACCTCATTTTCACAGATGATCTCTTGAGAAGTGGCAGACCTCTTCCATACTTCTAATTATTTCACATACAAAAAAGCGACAATTCAGAACAGCAGCATCTCAGGGTCCTGAGAGCTGGCTTATGTGGTTGCTGGGCTCTATTATATTTGAAAAGTTGTGGCTGTCAAGCAAAATCCCCAGGGACTAGAAAAAGGGAAATAGCACTTTCATTTACAGGAAAGGGAGGAAGAAAGACCTGGGGAACTAAAGGCCATTGAGCCTCACCTCTGAACCTGGAAAGATCATGGAACAGATCCTTCTGGAAGACATGTTAAGGCACATGAGGGACAAAACAGTAACCCCACACAGGTTGCATGGCTTCAGGAAGTTTGTGCCTGACCAGCCCAGTGACCTTCTATGACAGAGGAATGCCATCCATGGACAAAGGGATGGCAACTGATGTCATTTACCTGGACTTCTGCATGGCCTTTCACATGGTCCCCCACCACATCCTTATCTCTAAATTGGAAAGATATGGATTTGAAAGATGAACTACCTAGTGGATAAGGAATTGGTTGGAAGGTTGTAGCTACAGGGTTATAGTCAATGGCTCTATCTGTGTTCATGTAGAGGCGGCTAATAAGCGTTGTGCCCCAGGAGTCCATATTGGGTCCAGTACTCTTTAATATATTTATCAATGACAGATGATGGGATTGAGTGCACCAATAGAAGGTTTGCTGATGACACCAAGCTGATCTGTGTCAAGGTGACCCCAAGTATGTATACAAACTGGGAGAAGAACTCCTTGAGGGTACCCCTTTGGAGAAAGGCTTAGGGGTCCTGATTGATGAAAAACTTAACATGAGCCAGTAGTGTGTAAATGCAGCTTGGAAAGCTAATGGTGTGTTGGGTTTCCTCAGAAGAGGAGTGGCCAGCAGGGCAAGGGAGGCGGTTTTCCCCCTCCATTCTGTCTTTGTGAGGCCCCTGCTGGAGTTCTCATCCAGGTTCAGCGTCTCCAACACCGGAAAGATGTGTAGATTTTGGAGAGGGT